TGACTCTTAACTTTTATAAAGAATATCTCTTTGGATTTGAGACTTTAGTCTTTGCAACTTTACAGATCTTCTTTATGCACCAAGAGCTTGTAACACTCTAAAGAGAAAGGAAAAAATGAAATCGCATCATATGACCCCTTTAATATCCTAATGATTTTTGGCATAAAAGAAAAATCGATAATTTTGACCCATACAATGTATTTTTGGCTATTGCTACAAATATACCTGTGCTACTTAAGTTTTGTGGTCCAGGGTCACATATTATAATGAAGTCATTGTTGGTTAGCTTGTGAATGCTAAAAAATCAGTTGCTGGAAGATTTACATATTTGAATCTTAAATTCCTTAAAAAATTATAAGACCAAAAATAGACAAAATGTTGAAATTATCTTTAAAATAAAGTCTGAATAGAGTCCTGTAAGTGGTCCAGGCTGAATTACACTACTGTTGAAATGCTCGGTGTCAGTATGACCTTTTTTCGATACAAAACATTTACTTTATTCATTTAAATTGTAGCAATATTTCACTATATTCCTTGTTTTACTAGATTTAGTTTAATAAATGCAGCCATGGTGAGTATTAATGAATAAAAAAAAAAAAAACTTTGATCTAGAAATTTGTGGTGAAGAAAAGAAGGACAAATAAAAATACCTGAGTGCCCAGGCCCAATAAAATGAGCATAAAGAAGAACAGCAGGGACCAGAGTGGTGATATGGGCAGCAACGTTAGGGCCTCCGGGTAGGCCACAAATGCCAGGCCTGGCCCATGATCGGCCACCTCTGACACATCCACCCCCAGATGATTAGCCATGAATCCCAGGATGGAGAAAATAACAAAGCCAGCATACACGCTGGTACCACAGTTTGTTACACTGATGATGATACTGTCTCTGTTTGAAAACAGACAAATAATTTGATTATTATTAAGTCTGCAGTCATAACACAATCTGAACTGAAATTCTTTAATTCCTTCCTTGATTTCAGGTAATACAAGTTAGAAGTTCTTCCATGCATTTATCAGTACCAGCCACATGGGGGTGCTACAGAGTAATGCATGCAAGTCATCAAGCACTCGTTATACTTACAGTCTAAGTGTTTTCAAATGAAACAGAAGCAGAAAAATAAAAGAATACAATGTTTATTACCTAAAACAGTTATTATGGAACTTGTTATATGATGCCATAGTGATAAGGCCACCCCAGGCACAGCCCAGCGAATAGAAAATCTGAGAGGCAGCGTCCCCCCATACCTGCAGAACACAAAATGTTATCATTAACATAATATCAGTGATCAG